TAAACTACTGGTAGTGGTGACAGAGAGATACTGTGGTAAACTACTGGTGAAGGTGACAGAGAGATACGGTTGTAAACTACTAGTGAAGGTGACAGAGAGATACTGTGGTAAACTACTGAGGAAGGTGACAGAGAGATACTGTTGTAAACTACTGGGGAAGGTGACAGAGAGATACTGTTGTAAACTGCCGGGGGAAAGTGACAGAGTGATATTGTTGTAAACTACTGGGGAAGGTGACAGAGTGATACTGTTCTAAACTACTGGTGAAGGTGACAGAGTGATACTGTTGAAAATTACTGGTGAAGGTGACAGAGAGGTGCTGTTGTAAACTACTGGTGAAGGTGACAGAGAGGTACTGTGGTAAACTACTGGTGAAGGTGACAGAGTGATACTGTGGTAAACTACTGGGGAAGGTAACAGAGAGGTACTGTGGTGAACTACTAGCTAGGGGTGGCAGAGTGATACTGTTGTGAACTTCTAGCTAAGGGTGGCAGAGTGATACCGTGGTGAACTACTAGGTAAGGGTGGCAGAGTGATACTGTGGTGAACTACTAGCTAAGGGTGGCAGAGTGATACTTTGGTGAACTACTAGCTAAGGGTGGCAGAGTGATACTGTGGTGAACTACTAGCTAAGGGTGGCAGAGTGATACCGTGGTGAACTACTAGCTAAGGGTGGCAGAGTGATACTTTGGTGAACTACTAGCTAAGGGTAGTCAGAGTGATACTGTGGTGAACTACTAGCTAAGGGTGGCAGAGTGACACTGTGGTGAACTACAAGCTAAGGGTTTCAGAGTCATACTATGTTGACCTACTAGCTAAGGGTGACAGAGTGATACTGTGGTGAACTACTAGCTAAGGGTGGCAGAGTGATACTGTGGTGAACTACTAGCTAGGGGTGACAGAGTGATACTGTGGTGAACTACTAGCTGATTGTGGCAGAGTGACAATGTGGTGAACTACTAGCTAAGGGTGACAGAGTGATTCTGTGGTGAACTACTAGCTAAGGGTGGCAGAGTGACACTGTGGTGAACTTCTAGCTAGGGGTGACAGAGTGATACTGTGGTGAACTACTAGCTAAGGGTGGCAGAGTGATACTGTGGTGAACTACAAGCTAAGGGTGGCAGAGTGACACTGTGTTGAACTACTAGCTAATGGTGGCAGAGTGATGATGTGGTGAACTACTACCTAAGGGTGGCAGAGTGACACTGTGGTGAACTACTGGTGAAAGTGACAGAGTGATACTGTTGTAAACTACTGGTGAAAGTGACAAAGTGATACTGTTGTAAACTTCTGGTGAAGGTGACAGAGAGATACTGTTGTAAACTACTGGTGAAGGTGACAGAGAGATACTGTTGTAAACTACTGGTGAAGGTGACAGAGTGATACTGTTGTAAACCACTGGTGAAGGTGACAGAGTGATACTGTTGTAAACTACTGGTGAAAGTGAAAGAGTGATACTGTTGTAAACTACTGGTGAAGGTGACAGAGAGATACTGTGGTTACATTACTGGTGAAGGTGACAGAGTGGTACTCTTCTAAACTACTGGGGAAGGTGACAGAGATTTACTGTGGTAAAGTACTGGTGAAGGTGACAGAGAGATACTGTTGTAAACTACCTGTGAAGGTGACAGAGAGATACTGTTGTAAACTACTGGGGAAGGTGACAGAGAGGTACTGTTGTAACCTACTAGTGAAGGTGACAGAGGTACTGTTGTAAACTACTGGGGAAGGTGACAGAGAGATACGGTTGTAAACTACTGTTGAAGTTGAATGACTGATACTGTTGTAAACTACTTGGGAAGGTGACAGAGAGATACTGTGGTAAACTACTGGGGAAGGTGACAGAGAGGTACTGTTGTAAACTACTAGTGAAGGTGACAGAGAGATACTGTTGTAAACTACTGGGGAAGGTAACCGAGTGATACTGTTGTAAACTACTGGTGAAGGTGACAGAGTGATATTGTTGTAAATTACTGGGAAGGTGACAGAGAGGTACTGTTGTAAACTGCTTGTGAAGGTGACAGAGAGGTAATGTGGTAAACTAGTGGTGAAGGTGACAGAGAGGTACTGTTGTAAAGTACTGGTGAAGGTGACAGAGTGATAATGTTGTAAACTAGTGGTGAAGGTAACAGAGTGATACTGTGGTAAACTGCTGAGGAAGGTGACAGAGAGATACTGTGGTAAACTACTGGAGGAGGTGACAGAGAGATACTGTTGTAAACTGCCGGGGAAAGTGACAGAGTGATATTGCTGTAAACTACTGGGGAAGGTGACAGAGTGATACTGTTCTAAACTACTGGTGATGGTGACAGAGTGATACTGTTGTAAACTACTGGTGAAGGTGACAGAGTATTACTGTTGTAAATTACTGGTGAAGGTGACAGAGAGGTACTGTTGTAAACTACTGGTGAAGGTGACAGAGAGGTACTGTGGTAAACTACTGGTGAAGGTGACAGAGTGATACTGTTGTAAACTACTTGGGAAGGTAACAGAGAGGTACTGTGGTGAACTACTAGCTAGGGGTGACAGAGTGATACTGTGGTGAACTACTAGCTAAGGGTGGCAGAGTGACACTGTGGTGAACTACTAGCTAAGGGTGGCAGAGTGATACTGTGGTTAACTACTAGCTAAGGGTGGCAGAGTGATACCGTGGTGAACTACTAGCTAAGGGTGGCAGAATGATACTGTGGTGAACTACTAGCTAATGGTGGCAGAGTGATACTTTGGTGAACTACTAGCTAAGGGTAGTCAGAGTGATACTGTGGTGAACTACTAGCTAAGGGTGGCAGAGTGACACTGTGGTGAACTACAAGCTAAGGGTGTCAGAGTCATACTATGTTGAACTACTAGCTAAGGGTGACAGAGTGATACTGTGGTGAACTACTAGCTAAGGGTGGCAGAGTGATACTGTGGTGAACTACTAGCTAGGGGTGACAGAGTGATACTGTGGTGAACTACTAGCTGATTGTGGCAGAGTGACAATGTGGTGAACTACTAGCTAAGGGTGGCATAGTGATGATGTGGTGAACTACTAGCTAAGGGTGGCAGAGTGACACTGTGGTGAACTACTAGCTAGGGGTGACAGAGTGATACTGTGGTGAACTACTAGCTAAGGGTGGCAGAGTGATACTGTGGTGAACTACAAGCTAAGGGTGGCAGAGTGATACTGTGGTGAACTACAAGCTAAGGGTGACAGAGTGATACTGTGGTGAACTACTAACTAAGGGTGGCAGAGTAATACTGTGGTGAACTACTAGCTAAGGGCGGCAGAGTGATACTGTGGTGAACTACTAGCTAAGGTTGGCAGAGTGATACTTTGGTGAACTACTAGCTAAGGGTGGCAGAGCGATACTGTGGTGAACTACTAACTGAGGATGGCAGAGTGACACTGCGGTGAACTACTAGTTAAGGGTGGCAGAGTGATACTGTGGTGAACTACAAGCTAAGGGTGGCAGAGTGATACTTTGGTGAAATCCCAGCTAAGGGTGGCAGAGTGATACTGTGGTGAACTACTAGCTAAGGATGGCAGAGTGACACTGTGGTGAACTATAGCTAAGGGTGGCAGAGCGATACTGTGGTGAACTACTAGCTGAGGATGGCAGAGTTGACACTGCGGTGAACTACTAGTTAAGGGTGGCAGAGTGATACTGTGGTGAACTACTAGCTGAGGACGGCAGAGTGACACTGTGGTGAACTACTAGTTAAGGGTGGCAGAGTTATACTGTGGTGAACTACTAGCTAAGGGTGGCAGAGTGATACTATGGTGAACTACTAGCTAAGGGTGGCAGAGTGATACTTTGGTGAACTACTAGTTAAGGGTGGCAGAGTGACACTGTGGTGAACTACTAGTTAAGGGTGGCAGAGTGATACCGTGGTGAACTACTAGCTAAGGGTGGCAGAGTGATACTGTGGTGAACTACTAGCTAAGGGTGGCAGCGTGATACTTTGGTGAACTACTAGTTAAGGGTGGCAGAGTGACACTGTGGTGAACTACTAGCTAAGGGTGGCAGAGTGATACATAGGTGAACTACTAGCTAAGGGTAGCAGAGTGATACTGTTGTGAACTACTAGGTAAGGATGGCAGAGTGACACTGCGGTGAACTACTAGTTAAGGGTGGCAGAGTGATACTGTTGTGAACTACTAGGTAAGGATGGCAGAGTGACACTGCGGTGAACTACTAGTTAAGGGTGGCAGAGTGACACTGTGGTGAACTACCAGCTAAGGGTGGCAGAGTGATACATAGGTGAACTACTAGCTAAGGGTAGCAGAGTGATACTGTGGTGAACTACTAGCTAAGGGTGGCAGAGTGATACTGTGGTGAACTACTAGCTAAGGGTGGCAGAGTGATACTGTGGTGAACTACCAGCTAAGGGTGGCAGAGTGATACTGTGGTGAACTACTAGTTAAGGGTGGCAGAGTGATACTGTGGTGAACTACTAGCTAAGGGTGGCAGAGTGATACTTTGGTGAACTACTAGTTAAGGGTGGCAGAGTGACACTGTGGTGAACTACCAGCTAAGGGTGGCAGAGTGATACATAGGTGAACTACTAGCTAAGGGTAGCAGAGTGATACTGTTGTGAACTACTAGGTAAGGATGGCAGAGTGACACTGCGGTGAACTACTAGCTAAGGGTGGCAGAGTGATACTGTTGTGAACTACTAGGTAAGGATGGCAGAGTGACACTGCGGTGAACTACTAGTTAAGGGTGGCAGAGTGACACTGTGGTGAACTACCAGCTAAGGGTGGCAGAGTGATACATAGGTGAACTACTAGCTAAGGGTAGCAGAGTGATACTGTGGTGAACTACTAGCTGAGGGTGGCAGAGTGATACCTTGGTGAACTACTAGCTGGGGGTAACAGAGCGATACTGTTGTGAAATAGTGGTCAGGGTTGCAAAATCATTCTGTTTTGAATTATCATGCATGGATGATCCATTGGTACTTTTGTAATCTAGTCGGCCAGTATTTTTTACGATGACTTGTCTGTTTTACCTTCACAGCCCCAATCTGCACTGCTAAAGGAAACGAGTGTGGTGACAATGGCCACTGTGATACATCTTCCAAAGAATATTTTTGTCGCTGCATCAACGATTACACTGGACGAAAGTGCAAATCAGGTGAGCAGGATTCAGCCACATTGTTCATGTGGTGGTACGAACGTATTCATCTTGAAAGGTGAATACTACGGATGGAAATTAATTACAATTAACAAATCACAGGTACCCCTATCAACAAATGAAGGAAAAGGCAAACCAAAGGCGCAATGTTATGGTGTTTAGATTGATGGCAACATGTGTAGGATAGCTATTAAAATATTGCCCACTATAATGATGTGTTTATTTCAGCCCCTTTCTGCACCGTTGGGGGGAACGATTGTGGGGCAAACGGGAATTGCACACGTAAAGATTCTGGTCGTGGGAATTCATGTGTCTGCAAAAACGATTATACTGGAGAAAGATGCAACGATGGTAAGACTTCGTATTATACTACATCGGCACTACTGAGGGAATAGTAATACTGTTTCTATTTATGTTCAACATACAACCAGGGGGCATGGGTGGCCCAGACGTCTTAGGCGCCGCGATTCGCTGTGCAGAGTGGCGTTCCTTGGGCACGCCAGAAACCTATGATTGTGGGTTCGAATTCGAATCCCTGTGGGCATGGACAGTGTTATCTCGACTTGACTGATAAAAATGCAACAAATCTAACTGATGTTATAAACACCTTTAGGAATGTGTATAAGTGTCGACAGTGATGATGACATTTGTTGTATGTCTATGTAAATATTGTTAACTGTATTTTTTTGTTTGTTGCAGCCCCTTTCTGTACCATTGGAGGTAGCGAGTGTGGTGTCAACGGAAACTGCACTATCACTACTGCATTACATCATGGACGTTCCCTATATTCATGTGTCTGCAGAAACGGTTATACTGGCGACAGATGCAACATTGGTAAGGCTATTAAGATACTATATCAGAATGGGTCGGTGAATCGTGGTTAAATTATTTCACTACGTGGCAACACCATCTTGGAGGGAAATCCAAATGGATTTTTATGTTTAGCGCTTTAGTGACAGCCACGATAGGAGTATGGCAATGTGTGAACAGTCAATCGATAGATCAATGATTTCCATCGCAATCCAGATGACAATATATTATGTCTTGCATTACACATCTAAACAGTGACAATGTCCTATGGGTTGTGATTGTATTCTGATCAATGTCAGCTACATTCTGCACGGCTGGAGGAAGTGAGTGTGGTGTCGACGGTGGTATATGGTATAAAGGTCGCTTTGAACAATATGTTAGTCAGTGTACACACCTGAACAGTGTCCTATGCCCTGCACAATTTATTCCTTTTGTTTATTTCAGCTCCGATCTGCACGGCTGGAGGAAGTGAGTGTGGCGTCAATGGAGACTGTGACACATCGACATATTCCTGTGCCTGCAAGAACGGATACACTGGTCAAAAGTGCACCACACGTGAGGAGGCAACTAAGGGCTCAACATTAAGTGTTGCGTGTCTCACTGAACTGTCGATTGATGTACTTTGTAACTGACAATACGGATTTACCACATTGCAGTGCACGCCCGTTATCACATTTGATTGATCAGTACAGCTAATTGTTCGTACCAGGAACAAACCTGTGGTTACAGACTGTTATCTGGATCTGATTGATCAGAACAACAGATCTACCTAATGTTACAAACACATCATTGAATGTGGAATAGACCAATAATTAGACTGCAACGTGACCAGACTAGATTGATGGTGACATTTGGGCGTCTATTAAACTATTGTCCACTGTAATTCGATGTGTTTATTGCAGCCCCTTTCTGCACTGTTGGGGGAAGTGGCTGTGGTGCCAACGGACAATGCATTGGAGGTCATTACTGTAGCTGCAGAAACGGTTTTACAGGCGTGAGATGCACCACTGGTAAGACCACATATTTGTATAAAAACAAAATTCCACGTGTGGGGAGCTCTTTGAACAATATGTCAGTCATTTTAAACATCTGAACAGTGTCCTATGCCCTGCCCTGTTATGTAACAGATCGACCTATTGTTACAAACACAAACACGGGGCGATGGGGTAGCCTAGTGGTTAAGGCGTTCGCTCGTCACGCTGAAGACCCGGGTTCAATTCCCCACATGGGCACAGCGTGTGAAGTCCATTACTGGTGTGCCCCGCCGTGATAATGCTAACAATGTGCAAGCATTATCACGGCGGGGGACACCAGTAATGGACGCTGTGCCCATGTGGGGAATCGAACCCGGGTCTTCAGCGGCGTTAAACCATACTCACTAACTCACACTACTCTGTAACTGGCAATACGGATGTACCACAATGTTTCTCGTGTACGGCCGTTATCACATTTGATTGATAAGTGAGCTAATTGTTTGTATTATCAGAAAAGAAACTGTGGGTATATTTTAACCGCGATCTGATTCTTAGAATGCAAAACTAATGTTCATTATGCTTCTCGGAAAATGTTACAGTGTCTAGATTGATTATCACATTTGTGGGATATTTATGTATTATCTACTGTAATCCGTTGTGTTTGTTACAGCCCCTTTCTGTACTCTTGGGGGAAGCGGTTGTGGCGCCAACGGAAACTGCACACGAACTACTAGATATTATGGACGTGCTACATATTCATGTGTCTGCAGAAACGGTTATACTGGATCCAGATGCAACATTGGTAAGGCTACCACATTAACAATCAACATTACAAAGTGAATTATATCTGAACACTGTTTTGAGCAGTAGTTAAGTCATATATCATTGCGTAGGAAACTATTGTGTGTGTGTGTATGTGTGTGTGTTTTGGTGGTGTGTGTTGTGTTGTGTTGTGTTGTGTTGTGTTGTGTTGTGTTGTGTTGTGTTGTGTTGTGTTGTGTTGTGTGTTGTGGTGTGTGTTGTGGTGTGTGTCGTGGTGTGTGTGGTTGTGTGTGTCGTGGTGTGTGTCGTGGTGTGTGTTGTGGTGTGTGTTGTGGTGTGTGTTGTGTTGTGTTGTGTTGTGTTGTGTTGTGTTGTGTGTTGTGTTGTGTGTTGTGGTGTGTGTTGTGGTGTGTGTTGTGGTGTGTGTTGTGGTGTGTGTCGTGGTGTGTGTCGTGGTGTGTGTTGTGATGTGTGTTGTGGTGTGTGTCGTGGTGTGTGTCGTGGTGTGTGTCGTGGTGTGTGTCGTGGTGTGTGTTGTGATGTGTGTTGTGATGTGTGTCGTGGTGTGTGTTGTGATGTGTGTTGTGGTGTGTGTTGTGATGTGTGTGGTGGTGTGTGTGGTGGTGTGTGTCGTGGTGTGTGTCGTGGTGTGTGTTGTGGTGTGTGTTGTGGTGTGTGTGGTGGTGTGTGTCGTGGTGTGTGTCGTGGTGTGTGTTGTGATGTGTGTTGTGGTGTGTGTTGTGGTGTGTGTTGTGGTGTGTGTGTGTGTGTGTGTGTGGGGGGGGGGGGGGGGGGGGGGGGGTTGGTGGTGGGGGTGGTGGCGATTACGATGTAACAAGTGTTCGTTGTATGGCAATACTACAGTACTACTCATGTTCGCCGGATATACCCCTTGATTGATAAGGGGTGGTGGGGTAGCCAAGAGATTAAGCCGTTCGCTCGTTACGCCGGAGACCCGGTTCGATTCCCGACATGGGTACAATGTGTGAAGCCCATTTCTGGTGATATTGCTGGAATATTGCTAAAACTCACTCACTCTTTCATTTGATTGATTGAGAAGCGCAGTTTATTGTTTGTGTTATCAGCACAAAATGTATGGACATGGTTAATGTAGTCTTGACTTGAGTTATAAGAATAAAAAATAAAACCATACTCACTCACTCACTATTCATGTGTCTGCAGTAACGGTTTTACTGGCGACAGATGCAATGTTGGTAAGACTACGTTTTATACTATTTCACATAACCAAAGGAATCCTTTTCAAACGTCACTTTCAATGGTATTTCAATCATTTCATGGCATGGCAAACTATTCTCAAGCTTACTGTTCTACTAACAACTGCTCGGTAACTAATATTAACGATCTATCATGAAGGTCCCGAGGCAGAGCCAATATGCCCCTTGATTGAGTGAGTGAGTGAGTGAGTTGGGTTTAACGCCGCTTTTAACAGTATTCCAGTCATATTGCGGCGTGTCAGCTTAATGTGGGAGGAAAGCCCGAAGAGATGCAGGTCTCAGACGTTTACCACTTCGGTGAAACCCACGAGCTCGGGTATGGTGCTGACAAACCTAGAAACATAATCGGGGCGAACCGGGATTCGAACCCACAATCATAGGTTTCTGGCGTGCCCAAGGGACGCAACCCTGCACAGCGAATCGCGGCGCCTTAGACGACTGAGCCACCCGTGCCCCCTGCCCCTTAATTGATTAGTGGGGTACAGTTGAATGTTTGTACAATTAGCAAATATTGGTATGGACTTCTCGGAATATGTTGTAGGGTCCAGATTGAAGTGACATTTGTGGGGTGTCTTTGCAAATATTGTGAACTGTAATTCGATGTGTTTATTGCAGCCCCTTTCTGCACTGTTGGAGGAAGTGGCTGCGTCTTTGAACAATATGTCAGTCATTTTAAACATCTGAACAGTGTCCTATGCCCTGCACTTCATATCTAATCAGTGGCAATACCCTATGTTTTGTGCTTGTATTCTGATCAATGACAATACCCAATGGTTTGTGCTTGTATTCTGATCAATGGCAATAACCTATAATTTGTGCTCAGCATTTTTTCCTTAAGTTTATGTCAGCTCCGATCAGCATGGCTGGGGGAAGTGAGTGTGGTATATGCTCTGCACTTCATATATGATCAGTGACAATATCGTATAGATTGTGTTCATCATTTATTCCTTTTGTATATTTCAGCTCCGATCTGCACGGCGGGAGGAAGTGAGTGTGGCGTCAATGGAGTCTGTGACACATCGACATATTCCTGTGCCTGCAAGAACGGATACACTGGTCAAAAGTGCACCACACGTGAGGAGGCAACTAAGGGCTCAACATTAAGTTTGGCATGTCTCACTGAACTGTTGATTGATTTACTCTGTAACGGGGCGGTGGGTAGCCTAGTGGTTAAAGAGTTCGCTCGTCAGGCTAAAGACCCGGGTTCGATTCCCTACATTGGCACAATGTGCGAAGCCCATTTCTGGTGTCCCCCGCCGTGAAATTGCTTGAAAATTGCTAAAGGCGGCGTAAAACCATACTCACTTACCCACGCTACTCTGTAACTGACAATACAGATTACCACAATGCTTCTCGTGTACGCCCGTTATCACATTTGATTGATCAGTGCAACTAATTGTTCGTATTATCAGGAACAAACCTGTGGTTACAGACTGTTTTCTGGATCTGATTGATTAGAACAACAGATCTATCTAATGTTAAAAACACATCACTGAATGTGGAATAGTAAAATAATTAGACTGCAACGTGACCAGACTAGATTGATGGTGACATTTGGGCGTCTATTAATCTATTGTCCACTGTAAGTCGATGTGTTTGTAACAGCTCCTTTCTGCACTGTTGGGGGAAGTCGCTGTGTAGCCAACGAAAAGTGCAAATGATATTATTCCTGCGAATGCAGAAACGGTTTTACTGGCGACAGGCGCAACATTGGTTTAGACGACCACCTCTTTACGACATTGACATTACTGAGGGAATAATATTTAAACGCCATCTTAAACAGTATTTCAGTCATGTCATTGCGTTGCAAACCAACTGAGTCCAAAACAGCTAACTGCTGTGATAACATCCGATGTGCAAATGGCAGAAATAATGTTCCACAAGAGAAAATGTACTAGAAGTACTATTCTAAAACTATTAGCTTCCACTATGATTCGGTCGTCAAATCGGCTGTTTAAATCAGAGGGGGTTTATTGTTTTTTGATCCCTTTGATTGACAAAAAGAATCGAATATTTCCAAAATTCATGGTAGCTATACATTTATAAAGATATGGTATATTGTCTGAAATTCATTGTCATTGTTACAGCCCCTTTCTGCATTGTTGGGGGAAGCGACTGTGGCGTCAATGGAAACTGCAAACGAACTGCTGGATATTATGGACCTTCTACATATTCATGTATCTGCAGTAACGGTTATACTGGAGACAGGTGCAACATTGGTAAGAAAACGTATTATACTACATCAAAATGTGGGATGTCGGGGGGAGTTGAAAATATGTTCATGCTTGCTTGGGTACAATCAATTGTTTTGTAACGGGCAATAAGGATGTACCACATAAGTTGTAAGGCAGCGCCGAAGTCTTCCTTGATTCACAAAAGGGGTGGGGAGGGGGGTGGGGGGTACATGGTTTAAACGTTGCTTTCAACAATATTTCAGTCATTGTACACCTAAACAGTGTCCTATGCCCTGCACTTCATATCTGATCAATGACAATATCGTATAGTTGTGCTTGTATTCTGATCAGTGACAATATCGTATGGTTTGTGTTCATCATTTATTCCTTTTGTATATTTCAGCTCCGATCTGCACGGCTGGAGGAAGTGAGTGTGGTGTCAATGGAGTCTGTGACACATCGACATATTCCTGTTCCTGCAAGAACGGATACACTGGTCAAAAGTGCACCACACGTGAGGAGGCAACTAAGGGCTCAACATTAACTTTGGCGTGTCTCACTGAACTGTTGATTGATCTACTCTGTAACGGGGCGGTGGGTAGCCTAGTGGTTAAAGAGTTCGCTCGTCAGGCTGTAGACCCGGGTTCGATTCCCTACATTGGCACAATGTGCGAAGCCCATTTCTGGTGTCCCCCGCCGTAAAATTGCTTGAAAATTGCTAAAGGCGGCGTAAAACCATACTCACTTACTCACGCTACTCTGTAACTGACAATACAGATTAACACAATGCTTCTCGTGTACGCCCGTTATCACATTTGATTGATCAGTACAGCTAATTGTTCGTATCAAGAACAAACCTGTGGTTACAGACTGTTATCTGGATCTGATTGATCAGAACAACAGATCTACCTAATGTTACAAACACATCATTGAATGTGGAATAGACCAATAATTAGACTGCAACGTGACCAGACTAGATTGATGGTGACATTTGGGCGTCTATTAAACTATTGTGCATTGTAATTCGATGTGTTTATTGCAGCCCCTTTCTGCACTGTTGGGGGAAGTGGCTGTGGTGCCAACGGACAATGCATTGGAGGTCATTACTGTAACTGCAGAAACGGTTTTACAGGCGTGAGATGCAACACTGGTAAGACTACATATTTGTATAAAAACAAAATTCCACGTGTGGGGAGCTCTTTGAACAATATGTCAGTCATTTTGAACATCTGAACAGTGTCCTATGCCCTGCCCTGTTATATTGTCTGAAATTTGTTGTGTTTGTTACAGCCCCTTTCTGCACTGTTGGGGGAAGCGGATGTGGCGCCAATGGAAACTGCACAGAAACGTATTCTTGTGTCTGCAGGAACGGCTTTACTGGCGACCGGTGCAACGTTGGTAAGACGACCACGTACTATGCAACATCAACATTACTGAGGGAATAATATTTAAACGCCGTCTTGAACAGTATTTCAGTCATTTCATGACGTTTCAAACTAACATACATGTAGTCAAAAACGGCTAACGGCTATGATCATTCGTGACCAACTCGTGTTATTCCGGGACAAACCGAATAGCGACCCGTGCCACTCTCGTCGCCATTTTTGCGACTGGGTTCCGTCTTAGCGCAAACGGGCATGCCTAAAACAATTGTCAACTCGTTGCGTAATGGTTCACATATATTTCCCCATATATTATATAAATTTCAGATGAAATTTAAAGCACATAGGCACGTGCGGGATTATACAGTATGATTGAACACATTTATCTGTGTCATGGGTATAATTTTAGATGCAAGACATATGTAAAATCAAACATTATTTCTGAGGGATTATGTGACAAAGAACTCGAAATCATAGGCGCATTCTGATTGGTTTGTCGTATTTTCGCACATAACATTCATCGGTAGGGGGACGAGTCTTCTTGAAGGTCACGGAAAGGGGCGAGTGGTGACGAATGCAGATTACGGAAAGGGGCGAGTGGTGACGAATGCTGCTGTGATAACAAGTAATACGCATCTGGCAGAAATGATGTACCACATTAGCCCCGAGACCCCACTTGATTGATATGTGAATTAAATTTGAAAGTTTGTATTTTCAGAAAAACAAATGGGTAGAGACACTGTAACACAAACATAACTGATGTCATTTAGGAAATAAAGACACCGCGTTTTCAATGTAGAGCTAGGTTGCCCGTAGATTTAACCGCCCTTAATTGAATTTGGAACTGAACTCGCAACTTACCTATAGCTAGCTAACACAGTGTGTTTATCTCCATTCTAACATGACCAAATAAAACGGGTGTCAGCAAATATATTGTGTGAATCAGCATTCGTTGCGTCCAGTGTTTGGAGCGCTCAAGCAGCTTGTTTACACCGTAATTTTTCACTCGAACTTATGACAAGCACTAAAAGCATGTAGCAGGGCAACTTCGTAAGCTCACATGAGGTGGGCACCACAAGAGTAAAGTTAGCAATCCCTGGAAAGGTTAAGTTCTACACCGTTTGTCAATAACATGGCGTCATATGGCTCATTGTGACATAGAAAATCGACAACAAAATCTCTGTTGTCCTCAAAATTTGAAATACCTTCTCTTTCTAGATTTCTATCGTGGTTTCTGTACGATATGTATTGCCACGCCTCCTTTACATATTGAAGTATTGTAGACTATTATTATTATCTAACTATGCCTACCGATAATGACTGTAAATGAAGTACTATTCTAAAACTATTAGCTTCTACTATGATTCGGTCGTCAAATCGGCTGTTTAAATCAGAGGGTGTTTATTGTGTTTTGATCCCTCTGATTGACCAATCAGAATCGAATATTTCCAAAATTCATGGAAGCAATACATTTATTACGATATGTTATATTGTCTGAAATTCGTTGTGATTGTTGCAGCCCCTTTCTGCACTGTTGGGGGAAGCGGCTGTGGCGCCAACGGAAACTGCACACAAACTGCTAGATATTATGGACCTCCGACATATTCTTGTGTCTGCAGAAACGGTTTTACTGGAGACAGGTGCAACATTGGTAAGACAACTTAAAATACATTATCATGATGGGGAAGTTGAAAACTATTTTCATAGTTGCTGGTGTTCATTCAGCTGCTCTGCAACGGCCAATAAGGATGTACCTCAAGGGCTGTATGTCAGCCCCGAATTATTTCTTGGTGGATAAGTGAATTACATCTTCCCGAGGCAAGAGAGTTAACTGACTATGAAAGTTAAGTTTCCACCCTTGCCGACCTAGGTTGGTATTATTGAGTTACATTTTGGCTGGACTAACGAGTCTATGCCTAGTCCAATCAAAATCGCGCACCGAAATCGAAATCCGGTTCGAAAACTGTCGTGCATATTTAGATCGATTGCTGTATATGCAGAGCATGTGCACCGCCAACTCGTTGTCAGCAGATATTATTCCAAATCATTTCATGTTTTTAATGAAGGTGCTTACGTGATTTGATGCATTTCGCGATGTAAGACCCGTTTTATCACAATATAGATCTTGATTATCTATCAGATCGTCCTGACTGGACGCCACCATTTTGTGTGAAGCAAACGCAAGTGATACGAGAGGTGAAATCTGATTGGTCCATAGGAGAGGCATAGAAGTGACATAACTCGTAATAGCCACTGGTGGCGCTACGATCGAGCCCAGTTATTCCAGCCTAGTTCGGCAAGGGTGGAAACTGGACTTTTAAAGTCAGTTAACTCTCTTCCCTCGGGAAGATGGTGAAGTACGGATGGACGTTTGTGTTATCAGAAAAAAAACACTATGTGTATAGACATTGTATCTCGACGTGCTGAATCAGAATGCAACGAAGGTTGAGTCCAGAGTTTTGAGCGCTGATGTGGAACTGAATTTTACGGAAACACCGACAAAAGCCGGAATCCCCACTATATGGCTTTCTGTATGCTCAAGCTTGTTTACACCGTAATTTTTCACTCGAACTTATGACAGGCACTAAAAGCATGTAGCAGGGCAACTTCGTAAGCTCACATGAGGTGGGCACCACAAGAGTAAAGTTAGCAATCCCTGGAAAGGTTAAGTTCTACACCGTTTGTCAATAACATGGCGTCATATGGCTCATTGTGACATAGAAAATCGACAACAAAATCTCTGTTGTCCTCAAAATTTGAAATACCTTCTCTTTCTAGATTTCTATCGTGGTTTCAGTTCTATATGTATTGCCACGCCTCCTTTGCATATTGAAGTATTGTAGACTATTATTGTACATAAAATTATCTAACTATGCCTACCGACAATGACTGTAAATGAAGTACTATTCTAAAACTATTAGCTTTCGCTATGATTCGGCCGTCAAATTGTCTGTAAAAATCAGAGGGTGTTTATTGTGTTTTGATCCTTCTGATTGACCAATCAGAATCGAATATTTCCAAAATTCATGGAAGCAATACATTTATTACGATATGTTATATTGTCTGAAATTCGTTGTGATTGTTGCAGCCCCTTTCTGCACTGTTGGGGGAAGCGGCTGTGGCGCCAACGGAAACTGCACACAAACTGCTAGATATTATGGACCTCCGACATATTCTTGTGTCTGCAGGAACGGTTTTACTGGAGACAGGTGCAACATTGGTAAGACAACTTAAAATACATTATCATGATGGGGAAGTTGAAAACTATTTTCATAGTTGCTGGTGTACCATCAACTGCTCTGTATTTCGCTATAAGGACGTACCACAAGTGTTCTTAGGCGGCGCGGAGTACAGTTGAACGTTTGTTTAACCAGAAAAAAACTATGTGTATTCAATTCGGTTTAATTCGTACGTGTCGGCCATCGGCCCATAGTTACATTTGTATCACAATGAACTTAGTCTACGAAGTGATATCGCTTGATAGATATAGATAGCTAGGCGTTTAATTAATTTGCAATCAGCTGTAGGCATAATGATATTAAAGTTTTGCTTGGTAGGATATTCACAATATTTCTGTGGTAGGTAGTCCACCCGTAACTTGCTACGACTTACAGAACATGATACTCGTCCTCCACAAACCCAGCATTACAAACACAACATAGTCTTCTGTCACGTGGGATGTTAGCGTATCTTCCAGTTTCAACACATAGCTGATGTGAAAAACATCTAAACCGAGCAAGCGACAATCTTAATTTATGACGGTCACGCAGCTAAGATACAACTCTGTACCCAACGATACCTTGAACAGAGAATGAGAGAAAGATTTACTACCCCTTTCCAGAAGACTATGCCAATCCTAATCATAACTACATTTCAGACGCGACATAATTCTGACACGAACGAATGAGGATGACTTATACACTGGTTTTCCCATACAGAGCCAAAATCCAAACTGAACAATAAAGATATACATTTTGATACCCAATTAATTTTTACCATTACTTTCTGCCTGAAGCATCATATAATAACATTTCTTTGGAAAGCAACAATCTGACATACTCAATAACCTTATCCAATGACCAATAACTCTTTTGTATGCATAAAGATTTAATGGATACCGCCCACATTCACCTCGAACCATGTTGTTGGGTGTTGACGATTTGACACCTAGAAAGCGCTTGCATGCCAATGTATGTATGTAGACCCCAGACTTTGTAACCATAGAGCAAAATTGGGACTATTTTCATATTAAATATTTAAAAATATAATTAAGGTGGAAGAGGCTATAATTTTATCAATGACTTTAAAATTCGAAACATTGCTTTTCCCCCCTGTAACCAGCATTAGAGAAATGACTTGACCAGGTCAGGCTTCTCGTAAAAGTAATATTTGTATTATATTTGTATATGGTGGTGAGGTGAGGTGAAATGGGGTTTAACGTCGCGTCCAAGATTATTGCACTTATATAGCGACGTTTATATATATATACATATATATTTGTATATAATATTTATAAGAAGAAACACACTCCAACTTTAGACCTTTATAGTACCAAATCTCTTTTCCTGACAACACTCAACCTTTCTTAAAAACAATCATCTTATTTTTTTCCAAATTGACGTCTAGATCATAATAATTACAACACTTTTCTAGAACATCAATACGCTTCTGAAGTCCACCAATGGTATCTGAGATAAAAATAATATCGTCTGCAAACAATAACAGGAATATATTATCAAGCAGGGGCACGGGTGGCCCATTCGTCTCATGCGCTGCGATTCGCTGTGCAGAGTTGCGTCCCTTTAGCACGCCAGAAACCTATGATTGTGGGTTCGAATCCCGGTTCGCCACGAGAATGTTTCTAGGTTTGTCAGCACCATACCCGTGCTCGTGGTTAACATCTAAGACCTGCATCACTTCGGGCTTTCCTCCAACATTAAGCTGACACGCCGCGATATAACTGGAATACTGTTAAAAGCGGCGTTAAACCCAACTCACTATTATCATGCAACTTGATAAATAGCACTGTAAGATACGACACAAAAATATCATTCGCATATTTAACAAAATTCTAAAATGAGGTGGTCATTTCCTGTGGATTTATCAAATTTCAAAGAGTTAATAGCACACAGCACCTCCTCTTGTGAAATGGGGGAGTCCAGAATATAGCAGGGCATATCATCATGAATATCATTAATAGTCGCATCGGTGATAACCATATCTGCATCTGTTGGATTGTCAAACACATCTTTAAAATGTTCGACCCATTCTACCCAGGATAGGTACACGAGTTGCCACACTCTGAGATAATCGTCGTATGGTACACAAGAGTGAGTGAGTTGGGTTTAACGCCGCTTTTAACAGTATTCCAGTTATAACACAGCGTGTCAGCGTAATGTGGGAGGAAAGCCAGGGGGGAACCGGGATTCGAACCTACAATGATAGGTTTCTGGCGTGCCCAAGGGACGCAGCTCTGCACAGGGAATCGAGGCGCCTTAGACGACTGGGCCACCCGTGCCCCCTGGTACACCAGAAACATTTACTATTTGGAAGACTAGATAAAAACTTATTACACATTTATTCTTTATAACTTTTCTTTTCATCACGTAATAAACTAGTATAAGTATATCTTTGTTTTACATAACTAAATAAGGTGCTATCATTCTTAAAATGTCTTTACATTCTGACTAACGGGACCGGTGGTCAGGCTCGATGACTTGGTTAATGCATGTCATCGATCCCCATTGCGTGGATCGATGCTCATGCTATCAATCACTGGATTGTCTGGTCCAGACTCGATTATTTACAGACCGCCGTCATATAGCAGGAATATTACTAAGTGCGACGTTAAACAACAAACCAACCAACCAACCAACTGCATATTCTGAGACACCTCTCTGTTCCATCTGTAGTAATGACACTCAGTGTAAAACCAGGGTTGGGGCGACTGTCGCGAGAATTTCAAGTCCTTTTCATGCATTTAGCAGCTGTACACATGGGGTCTGTGAATGAGTCAATAGCATCATCTATATTATCTGGTAGTAACAGGGTACATTGTTCAGAACAATCATCCACATGTGGCAAAACTAGACTATCCCTGAACTGCTGTACTTTCGCCATGTCCAACACATAGTGGTAGTTTTCACGAGACGCACGTGCGGTCCCTGTTGCTTCAACGGGAGTCTCCTGATCACGTGCTTGTAACGAACAAGATGGTGGAAGGTGTGAGGATTCTGCCCTCGACACAATATCAAATGTTTTACAGTGGAAGAATAGACTGTTGGATTCAATAATGTAGTCAATTACACTGGAGTCTGAGTGACCGATGCAAGTATAATCACCTATACCTAAATCCGAACCACAGTGACCATTTATAATAGGCATGTCGAGAGCGGCACACGTATTTACAAGATATTTTCCGGCATTGTTTGCAAATATCACATGCTTTTCTATCTATGTTGATACTATCGGACAGAACTAACATATTCTCGTCACCTAAAACCTCGGCGATATCATCATCAATATGATCAGACAGTGTCCCTGTACGTTTGTCCGGGCGTTGAAATCCCCACCTATTCTCTGAGGATATGTATATCTCTTGTTAATGACCAAATAACTTCTATAAGTGCGTTAAAGAATAAAGTCAAACTACACTTGATTTTCTGTTTATTACACCAGCTTGATCCTGGCGGATTGACATATACACAACAAATAAGAATGTCTTTTTCAAGATTAAATACTCAATTATGCGGGGCAGTGAGAGTGGGGGGATAGATGATAGATTTAGCAACAAGTAAGGTCATCTTGAGTGGGACGGTATTCGCAGATGGTATAGCATATGAACTATGATTCTCTTTAGGTAGAAAATGCGGATCCACGATGTTCGACCTGGTAGAAGTGCGTAATCAAACCTAGCAGCATTGGTTTTTGACTGATTGTGGCGTCAAAACAAATTCATTCATTTACTTGAACTGAATGTTCATCTTAATTGTTATGGATAGTCACGGAGCCATGATCCAGAGAACAGGGTGTCATTAGATAGAAATAAAGTAATAATAGGATTACCAGAAAAACGGGATATAACACCCAAGCCAATAAACTTCGCTCATTAACACCAGAATAAGTCAGGACAAAATTGAAAACTGCCCCATAATTATGTATGACATGCTTGTCGGGTATTGCAACATGTATATGTGAAAACAAAGTTATTAAAATAAAGAGCAAAACTGATGAAAGTTACCAATAAACGTGTATACGTAAGTGTTATATCGTCACTGCAAAAATAATGAGTGTTTGTCTTTCGTATTAACATTCAAATACGTTATATCTGTATTAGCGATAGTGTCTACGTTCCACCGGTGAGTCAGCGTTAGCCGTACTATCTCGTAGTATATATTATTGTATTTCTGAAGACATCACGATACAGTTTTTACGATGCATCACGTCTGCACTAGCGCTTGATAACAGCCTTGTGTTTGGGTGTATCAGTAGTTTAAATCGCTGCTCTTGATATTGTTGATTAAACTTTGATACTATGAACAATATAATGTTATATGAGAGGATGACTTTAGAACGGTAACATACTATATATATATAGACATAAATAGAACAATGAGTAGTACGTCCAGATTAGTGTATAGGCAACATTTCATAATTAAAATAACTAAATGACTTATAAGTAAATGCAAGAATTCAATCGGCCGGAATACAATGTATAATTCTTGTCCACTTCCATATGACTTTATAGCATACAATAAGCTTTCGGGTCCCGTTTAGATCGGTTTGGGTGGCAGACTAGATACCCATAGAATAGTTTCATCTCGGAATCTCCCATATCACTGGGGCTCCTCTTCAATTTAAATGGAGTTACTTGTTACGATTCCGAACCTTCACGAGACTCTGTTTATGAATCATTGTCAAATAGTGGTGACATTAAATCTAGGAAACAATACGCGAAATCGCGCATGCACAGAACGGAAAATTTGACAAGGCATTAAGTAATCCGCTTGCGCAGAACGATTGATTTCAGTACTTCCGCTAAGCGCTTCGAGAGCAGCGTCAAACGCGGGCCTGCAATCTAACACGCGAGGACTGACCAATGAAATCAAAGAAGGTAGAAATACCGGTAGACGCTGTTGCTTGATTGACAATGTCAATCAAGAAAGGGTGGAGCTTAACGGTATCGTTCTCTCCCAGTAAATTCCGATGTCAAATAACGACGTTTTTTGGACGGAAAAAGGATGGTTTGAAAACGTCCAAATAACGTCGTTTTTCCTTCCAATAACCATATACGGGAAAAAACGACGTTTTCGTGTTTGCAGTGTCACTTGGGGCTTTCCTCACACATTAAGCTGACACGCCGCGATATAACTTGAATAGTGTTAAAATCGGCGTTAAACCCAACTCACTCACTCACTCACTAAATGAAATCATTAACACATCATCGCGTATTCTGATTGATCTTTTTGTGAATGACTTGATCATGGTGAACAAAAGGCGATATCAACGGTATCTCAGGCATCCTAATGTGGACGGAAAGCCAAATGTTACCATAAGTATGTTTTGCATTCTGTCATATTCCAATGGTTTGGTTTGTTTGTTGTTTAACGCCGTACTCAGCAATATTACAGCTATATGATGGTGGTGGTCTGTAAAGATTCGAGTCTGGTCCAAACAATCAAGTGATTGACACCATGAGCATCGATCCACGCAATTGGGATCGATGACATGCATCAACCAAGTCAGCGAGCCTGATCACCCGATCCCGTTAGTCGCCTCTTACGACAAGCACAGTCGCCTTTTACGACAAGCATGGGTTGCTGAAGACCTGTTCTACCCCGGATCTACACGGGTCCATTGGTGAATGCATGCCTGTTTATATATGATTAAGCGATGACATTTACTAGGAAAAAACAGACTGGCTAATAGATGGCAACAGTCGCAGATCGTGGGTTCCCCAGCTATTATGTTTCCACTTGACATGCCGATCTTCATTGCTTGCGTACACGATTGGTCAACATTCAAAGGAGACAAACCCTTAAATGTGTTTCGCATCTCATGTAGCATTCTTCCATCACATCCTTCATCACTATATGTTCCTATCGTTTCATGGTACAACTTGTGTTTAATTACAGCCCCTATCTGTACATCCCGCGGAAGCGAGTGTGGTTTCAACGGAGATTGTGACACATCCAGAACACCCTATGCCTGTCGCTGTCTCAACGGATACACTGGCAAACTGTGTACAAAAGGTGAGACTTCCCACGGGAATGGCTACGTTTATACAATATGTACCCAAAGAACCACAGAAAGTGCTAAACATTTTCAGGTGAGATTTTATACAAATGTGAGATATTTCGCTCAGGAATAACTAAACTGGTAAAAAGTGTATTAAAAATTAGATAGTTCCCGAAAAAAGTGTCTACACTGGTTTAATGTAAACTATGCTACATTATAGGTCGGATGCGGCACATGCAATGAATAGCTGACATAGTCATTTGTTCATATCTGTGACAATGTGTATTACAATGTAGACAAAATCACGGTACAAATTTATGACAATACTCAAATCTAGCTCTAATAGTTTTCAACAATGCAATTTAACGTCTGGATACTTAGAAATATGTCCTCGTTCAGCACACTCGGCTAAAAGCGACAAAACCATCTCCACAAAGTTCCCAGGTGATTTCCAAATCGAAACAAGGAAGGCTACCTCAGGCATCTGTTCGTGCGGAACTACATTGTGAAATCACCAACTGAGCACACAAGGCCAATGAATATGTAACAAATTAAATTGAACAAGTTTAATATATATATATATATATATATATATATATATATATATATATATATATATATATATATATTTATATATATATCAAGGTTTAATATAGCAAGATGTAATACAATGGTCCAAAAAAGAGGCAGAAAAAAATAACAGGACCTGTATTATTTGTCCGTGCACTTACGAATGTCCAAAATGTGTCACAGTGGAATGTCTTGAATGGGATACGGGCTCTGTTCTTGAATCTCGGAAATGGTGTTGGAATCGGCCAGAATCTCTGTGGTTTGAGATGGGTATCCTATCCGCGATGAGCGAGTAGATACGACGGACGTTAGCCTTTAGAAGTCCTCGATGTAGCCCATCCCTGTGACGTGAACACCAGTTAAGGGAGGTAACTCTAAGTGACTACCTGAAACTTTGAAATTACATAAATAATGATATCTACTGCTACGTAACAACAATATAAGACATTTCCACTGTTACTTTATCACTTCCGATTACATCATACGCGTTTATGACTCACTATCGAATAGTGGTGATACTAGGTGTTCGCCAAAAGGTAACAATATCCTGCCACACCGGTTGCACCCATCACAAAATCTTCAGAAAAAATCTCCTCAACATGGTTCATGTTATCATTGTTGCATGTTATCATTGTTGTATGGTATCATTGTTGCATGTTATCATTGTTGCATGTTATCATTGTTGTATGGTATCATTGTTGTATGTTATCATTGTTGCATGCTATCGTTGTTGCGTGTTATCATTGTTGTATGTTATCATTGTTGCATGCTATGGTTGTTGCGTGTTATCATTGTTGTATGTTATCATTGATGCATGCTATCGTTGTTGCATGTTATCATTGTTGTATGCTATCATTGGTGTATGCTATCGTTGTTGCATGTTATCATTGTTGTATGCTATCGTTGTTGCATGCTATCGTTGTTGTATGCTGTCATTGTTGCATGTTATCGTTGGTGTATGTTATCATTGTTGCATGCTGTCATTGGTGTATGCTATCATTGTTGTATGCTGTCATTGGTGTATGCTATCGTTGGTGTATGCTATCATTGTTGTATGCTGTCATTGGTGTATGCTATCGTTGTTGCATGTTATCATTGCTGCATGTTATCATTGGTGTATGCTATCATTGTTGCATGTTATCATTGTTGCATGTTATCATTGGTGAATGTTATCATTGGTTAATGTTATCATTGTTGCATGTTATCATTGTTGTATGTTATCATTGTTGCATGTTATCATTGTTGCATGTTATCATTGTTGCATCTTATCGTTGTTGCATGCTATCGTTGTTGCATGTTATCATTGTTGTATGTTATCATTGTTGCATGTTATCATTGTTGCATGTTATCATTTATGCATGTTATCATTGTTGCATGTTATCATTGTTGTATGTTATCATTGTTGCATGTTATCATTGTTGCATGTTATCATTGTTGCATGTTATCATTGTTGCATGCTATCGTTGTTGCATGTTATCATTGTTGCATGTTATCATTGTTGTATGCTATCGTTGTTGCATGTTATCATTGTTGCATGTTATCATTTATGCATGTTATCATTGTTGCATGTTATCATTGTTGTATGTTATCATTGTTGCATGTTATCATTGTTGCATGGTATCATTGTTGCATGTTATCATTGTTGCATGCTATCGTTGTTGCATGTTATCATTGTTGCATGTTATCATTGGTGTATGCTATCGTTGTTGTATGCTATCGTTGTTGCATGTTATCATTGTTGTATGCTATCGTTGTTGCATGCTATCATTGTTGTATGCTATCGTTGTTGCATGCTATCATTGTTGTATGCTATTGTTGTTGTATGCTGTCATTGTTGCATGTTATCGTTGGTGTATGTCACCATTGTTGCATGCTGTCATTGGTGTATGCTATCATTGTTGTATGCTGTCATTGGTGTATGCTATCGTTGTTGCATGCTATCATTGTTGCATGTTATCATTGGTGTATGTTATCATTGTTGCCAGTATCATTGGTGTATGCTATCATTGTTGCATATTATCATTGTTGCATGTTATCATTGTTTCATGGTATCATTGGTGAATGTTATCATTGTTGCATGTTATCATTGGTGTATGTTATCATTGATGTATGTTATCATTGGTGTATGTTATCATTGTTGCATGTTATCATTGATGTTTGTTATCATTGATGTTTGTTATCATTGGTGAATGTTATCATTGGTGTATGTTATCATTAATGTATGTTATCATTGTTTCATGTTATCATTGTTGCATGTTACCATTGGTGTATGTTATCATTGTTGCATGTTATCATTGGTGTATGTTATTATTGATGTATGTTATCATTGTTGCATACTGCCATTGTTGCATGCTGTCATTGGTGTATGCTATCATTGTTGTATGCTGTCATTGGTGTATGCTATCGTTGTTGCATGCTATCATTGTTGCATGTTATCATTGGTGTATGTTATCATTGTTGCTAGTATCATTGGTGTATGCTATCATTGTTGCATATTATCATTGTTGCATGTTATCATTGGTGAATGTTATCATTGTTGCATGCTGCCATTGGTGTATGTTATCATTGTTGCATGCTGTCAATTATAGCATGCATCAATGACAGCATGCAACAATTGTTACATGTTATTGTCGTTGCATGCTATTGTTGTACCGTAGCATTGTTGTGTGGTATCATTGTTGCATGTTACCTTTGTTGTATGTTATAATTGTCCCATGTTATCATTGTTGTATGTTGCCATTGTTGCATGTTATCATTGTTGTATGTTGCCATTGTTGTATGTTATTATTGTCCCATGTTATCATTGTTGTATGTTGCCATTGTTGCATGCTGTAATTGTTGTATGTTACCATTGCTGTATGTAATTATTGTTGCATGTTATCATTGTTGTATGGTATCATTGTTGCATATTATCATATCATTGTCGCATATCAGTATCGTTGCATGTTAACATTGTTGTATGTTACCATTGTTTTATGTTATGTACATAATTGCGAAATATGAAAATAACAAATTAAATTACCTTCTGAGAGGAAGAACTTCAGGTCAATATGTACAGAAAGTATAGTCGTAACAGTCATGTCATATTTCCTACAAGGTGATGCCATTGTTTTTTCTCTACAGCCCCGATATGCACGGCCAAGGGAAATGAGTGTGGCGACCATGGAGACTGTGATACGTCGAGAAGAGAATACGTATGTTCTTGTAAGAACGGATACACTGGCCCAAGGTGTACCTCAGGTAAAAACAAATATTTCTTAAAAACATTGTCCCGATTTTCAACTTTAACAATTAAGTGGCTCATATTAAGATTTGAAATTTAATTTTAAAAGAACCTAATTGTTAAACATCGCTTCATCAAAGCTATTTCAGAGTCCTCGGACAGTGGGATCCCATATTCGCCCTGCTTAACCCCTAAGACATTAGACTTTCCCCAGCAGACAAGGAATACCTTTCAAAGGGGCGTAAATGCATTCAAATCGAGGGTGGTACTTCGGTACTGCCGGCTAATAAGATCAGGCAAGAAGTAAAGAATGACGCCATCAACGATTATCCAACGTATTATACCTCCATTATTGCTTCATGAATACCCTGTTCCCGATCGTTACCATAACCTCGTTGAGAAAGTAACGTCACCAACTCCATCTCTACAATCAGTAACTTTGTGCACTACTGGGTCGGTTCGAATCCCGGTTCGCCCCGATTATGTTTCTAGGTTTGTCAGCACCGTACTCGTACTCATGGGTTTCATTGAAGTGGTAAACGTCTGAGACCAGCATCACATCGGACTTTCCTCCCACGTTAAGCTGACACGCCGTAATATACCTGGAATACTGTTAAAAGCGGCGTTAAACCCGACTCACTCACTCACTGCACTGCTGGAAGAATTGAGTGTTGTGATATGTGCTGCTTCATAACGTCTCATTGACATTACGCTTTTGCGCCATGCTGATTGGTCAGTTCACGCCGTTTGTTTGGGAAAGTAACCCATAACACAGGTTTTGTGTTACGTCGTTCGAACTGATTAAATGAGCTCAGTGGTCCCCTTGTGAACCGGAAGTCCACATTCTTCTCCATCCTCCTAAGAAAATAAAACCTTGGAATTTACATTGGTTGACTACCAGAAACGGAGTATCTGTCCCAAGAGAAATAGTATCACTCAATTATTTCATTAGTGACTGACAATCCATGTTCCTTTTGGTTCATTAGGAACCTATTATATTCAAGAGTGGCTTGGATATTTTTTTAAGTGTACGCTTGACATGCTGAAAGTCGTCATAAAACGTTCGTAGGCAGTTGCATTCACAGGACGAAATTGTGTGTTCATAAGCTATGGCAGGAAACATAAAAACACACATATTTCACCAAATCCCCCATCCCTGAATATTATGTTGTTGATGGCGCAGTAATTTTCTGTGTTGTCTCCACAGCTCCCTTCTGCGTGGCTGGAGGAAACACGTGTGGAGACAATGGTTACTGTTACACGCATTCCAGTGAACAATACTGCGTCTGCAAGAACGGATACACTGGGCCAAGGTGTACGAGAGGTAAGGAGACTAAAAGCATAGCACTAAGCTTTAGGATAAATAGTTTTAAACATTATCATCATATATTGTATAATATCATCGATCAATCTCATAAACGTTTCGGATAAATTGATCTCATAATTTTTAGACTCCGGAATACGTTTTCTGTAGATCTGGGGTTTTGTTTGAATAGAATATAAACACGTCAGTGCTTCAAGTTACGTTTCCATGAGGCACTGTTTTATTTATTACTCGATTGAAAGATATCATTAGATAAAATATTAACATCACTAAATAGAATCTGTGGTAATACTTATTTTTCTTAGGCAATATAGAACATATATACATTTCTAAATATCACAAAATATGATTTTTAGATATCCTTAATCATATATAGTTATCTAACAATCCAATTTGTGATATCAATAAATATGTTCAAATATCATTGTAAATCGCGTTTATGATTCACATTAATGCGCATTTTGTGATCAATAAATGAAACATTGATATAAATTAGAGATTAAATTTCGCCTCGTGCTATTTCTCTGTGAATAGAACATTATCAAATCATCACTATAGTTGACATAAAGCTAAAATAGACGATACTATGTACTACTCATATGCTATGAAGGATACTTCTTTCAGTGGCATTTAGAAGTTGGTGTGATGAAGTAAGACAAGTTCTATGGACGAACAACTTCTTTATTACAATTAGTGTGACGCTTCGGTGTAGATCAAGTCTACTACATCCCGCCTGCTTACCATCACCTAATTGCTAAATCCCTATGTCCGTCCAATTAATCTACTGACTCTGTGTCCATTAGTCCTCCACTGGCTTCCAATCATCTCTATCAGTCTGCTTGCTGACTCTGTGTCCATTAGTCATCCACTGGCTTTCAAGTATCTTAATCAGCTCTCTGTGGCCATCAATCAATTTACTGTATAAACATTGATGTTAATAAGTATATATACCTAAAAGTATGTTGTTTAGCACTATCCATCACTTGCTTGATAAAGGTGTTAGAATCTACACCGAAACGTCGCACTAATTGTAATAAAGAAGTTGTTCATCCATAGAACTTGTCTATGAAGGATACAGTAACGTATATATGGTGACATTGTGTCGCAGATATCGTTATAGCAGCTACTACTTAACACACCTTTTAACAATGGTTAAAAAATGATCATACAATTATACCATTTCTTGGCTCTTGGTTGTGTTGCTCTATGACCTGTATCAATTCAGGCTTTCCTCCCACATGAATCTGACGCACCGTTATATAACCGGAATTATTTTCAAAATGGTTATTAACCCGACATATTCACTCTGTTTATTTCTCAGCCCCCTTCTGCACTATTGGAGGGACAGATTGTGGCACCAACGGGGAATGCGCCAGGGTACAAGGAGGAAATTATGTATGCCTCTGCATGAACGGCTACACAGGCGACAAATGCACAATTGGTGAGGCTATCTATTATTTGCTATCAGCTAATGTGTAAATTATGAGATAAATCTACTGTATTTTGAAATTTAAGGTAGCTTTACTGTAGATTATCAGATATATTAGTTTGAAACCCAGGGCTTTGGTGCTAGGAAACAAAATGAAATCTTTCATTGTGAAGGATGACAGAAATAGTGACAAGATTGATGACAACAAGGTTGAATTACAGTGTTTCAGTAATTTTAAGGCTGAAGCATCGAAAAAGCACGGTTAGGTGTGAAAATAATGGTAATGTTGATGTTTTCAATGGAACAGCTCCTTATCTTATTTTGTCCAGTCAAAATTGAGTATTCTTCAGTATCATGATAAATTTAAGTAAAACGCAGTTTTGAACAATGGCTCAAAAATGAAAACATACAAACAATTATATCATATCTGCGAAGAGAGGCTCTTGATTTTGTTGTTCTAAAAGATTAACTTGTTTTGCTTTGACAGCTCTTTTTATAGCTGTGACAACGTTATGTTTTTGTGTTGTGCAGCAACAAGCCGCGTGTGCACTATTGGAGGGAGCGAATGTGGCGTCAACGGAGTCTGCGAGGAATGGAAATGGGAAAATTACTGTCTCTGCAAGAATGGATACACTGGGAAAACGTGTAACATAGGTGAGCTTGGGTATATGTAACACATTGTATATAATTTGCTAATCCGGAATATTTCTCAGGGAAGGGAATATTTTGAATGAATGGCATTTCTCAACAGATGAATACGATACTACTTCTAGAGTCTTAATTTTATGACAATGCTTAGCAACAAGCCCTTGTTTAAGATTCCATGTAAAGCTTTTTATAAGAAATATGAAACGTCAAGGTATTATTTGCACTGAACCATGAACCATTTACACAGAACAAGTTTTAAAATTGTGATGTATTATCTTATTGTATTGATGTCAGTATAGTAGGAGAAACTAGCATATACAGATTGAAATAATAAATTCAGCAAAGGGGGGTTTGGTTGATCCTGGCACAGTCAGGCTGGTTAGGCTCATCATCAGCTCAGGGGCCTTGTCCCCTGTACACGCAGCCCAGACAGCGAATGGGACTTCTCCCAGGAAGCGCTGCCTTCTCGAACCCACCCAGAACGTTTAAAATGTAAAGACTCCCCAACACTGCAGCCTTTTTAATTACCCAGATTGTCAGAAGGGATGTATCCCTGGCAGCGAACCCGGGTACTCTATCATTGTGAGACAACAGAGTGGGAGGTACCAGGAACAATGAGGAGTCGGATATTTGCCATGTTTTTTTCCTGAATCTTGACAATCACAAAAGGGACAGCAAACCTCAGCAATATAAATGATTTCTTTGGATTTATCAAAAAGATCAGGTTTGTTGGCCTGGATAGGTCTGAGACTGTAAACGGGCCTATTCAAACTTTGCTTTCACTATTTTCCATGACGCCCTCTGCATATTCTGGCTCGTACCATGAATGGACTTCTGTGTCAAAACCACAAGTATGGCGAAGACGGTAACAAAAGGATCGAGTCACTCCATTACGTCACTTTAGATACTGTGTTTGTTCCAAAGCTGGGCATCCACTGATAATGTGTCGGACATTCTCACTGAATTCATTGCCTAATCTGCATTTCATATTTACATTTTGATGCAAAATCACACATTGACGGTTTCGAATGGGAAGTAACTGGTCCTGAGCAGCAAACAGAAAGCCTTCTGTATCATTTTACAGGGCAGCCAATTTAATCCAAGCGAAGAACTCTTCAGGGCTTCAGATCTTCTCAACACACTGCTTATTATTTTTGTCATTGTTATTAAGTTATATTTCATTATCATTTTTAGCCCCAATTTGTGCGGCATCAGGGGATCAATGTGGTGGAAATGGAGAGTGTAACATCTGTACCAACTACCACTTCTGTCAATGTTCTCCTGGCTACAACGGGGACACCTGTTCCGCGGGTGAGTGTGTCGTCAATTGCTAGATTAGATAAAGGTGCTGATTGCTATTGTTTCCATAGGTACATACTAACATTCCCCTATACGTGGTGTAGATTGTTTATTGCTTTGGCCGGTGTATTGGGAGCAGGTCCATCAGTGTGATGTATATACAGTTTAAAATCCTGATAAAATGGGTATCATATGGATGATGAATGCTTACAAAATATATCAAAGTTATGTGCAACCACTGTGAATGTATCTGTTTAAAATTCATTCATGAAATATCTTCTGTGTTCAGATCAGATAATGCATATGTTATTTCTACAGTGGCGGTAATGATTGTTGGATTATATTTCAGGACAGAGTCATGATTCAAGTACCGCTCCTGATGTCAAGGTTGTTTCTATGACGTTCCTGATGATCTCTGTGTTTGGAAGTCTGTTTTTATGGTAGTTTCTGTCGCATTCCAGATGATCTGTGTATTTTGAAATCTGCTGTTAAGGTAGTTTTTATGACATTCCTGATGATCTCTGTGTTTGGAAGTCTGTTTTTATGGTAGTTTCTGTCGCATTCCAGATGATCTGTGTATTTTGAAATCTGCTGTTAAGGTAGTTTTTATGACATGCCTGATGATCTCTATGTTTGGAAATCTGTTTTTATGTTAGTTTCTATCGCATTCCAGATGATCTGTGTATTTTGAAATCTGCTGTTAAGGTAGTTTTTATGACATTCCTGATGATCTCTATGTTTGGAAGTCTGTTTTTATGGTAGTTTCTATCACATTCCAGATGATCTGTGTATTTTGAAATCTGCTGTTAAGGTAGTTTTTATGACATTCCTGATGATCTCTATGTTTGGAAGTCTGTTTTTATGGTAGTTTCTATCACATTCCAGATGATCTGTGTATTTTGAAATCTGCTGTTAAGGTAGTTTTTATGACATTCCTGATGATCTCTATGTTTGGAAGTCTGTTTTTATGGTAGTTTCTATCACATTCCAGATGATCTGTGTATTTTGAAATCTGCTGTTAAGGTAGTTTTTATAACATTCCTGATGATCTCTATGTTTGGAAGTCTGTTTTTATGGTAGTTTCTATCACATTCCAGATGATCTGTGTATTTTGAAATCTGCTGTTAAGGTAGTTTTTATGACATGCCTGATGATCTCTATGTTTGGAAGTCTGTTTTTATGGTAGTTTCTGTCGCATTCCAGATGATCTGTGTATTTTGAAATCTGCTGTTAAGGTAGTTTTTATGACATTCCTGATGATCTCTATGTTTGGAAGTCTGTTTTTATGGTAGTTTCTATCACATTCCAGATGATCTGTGTATTTTGAAATCTGCTGTTAAGGTAGTTTTTATGACATGCCTGATGATCTCTGAGTTTGGAAGTCTGTTTTTATGGTAGTTTCTATCACATTCCAGATGATCTGTGTATTTTGAAATCTGCTGTTAAGGTAGTTTTTATGACATGCCTGATGATCTCTGTGTTTGGAAGTCTGTTTTTATGTTAGTTTCTATCGCATTCCAGATGATCTGTGTATTTTGAAATCTGCTGTTAAGGTAGTTTTTATGACATTCCTGATGATCTCTATGTTTGGAAGTCTGTTGTATTTATGTTAGTTTCTATCGCATTCCAGATGATCTGTGTATTTTGAAATCTGCTATTAAGGTAGTTTCTATCACATTCCTGGTGGCCAGTGTACTTGAAAGTCTTATATATATAGGTAGTTTCTGTGACACCCCTGGTGATCTGTTGTTAGTAAGTCTTCTGTTATAATGTAGTTTCTATGACAACCCTAGTGCTCTGTGTATTTGGAAATCTGCTGTTTAAAAGTAGTTTCTATGACAACCCTTGTGATCTCTGTACTTGGAAGTCTGCTGTATAAAAGTAGTTTCTATGACAACCCTAGTGCTCCGTGCATTTGGAAATCTGCTGCATAAAAATAGTTTCCCTGACAACCCTGGTGATCTGGAGGTTTAGGTCTGCTGTTATGAGGTAGTTTCTATGACAACCCTTGTGGTCTGTTTATTTGGATATCTGCTGTTATGAGGTAGTTTCTCTGACAACCCTGGTGATCTGTTTATTTGGATATCTGCTGTTATGAGGTAGTTTCTATGACAACCCTTGTGGTCTGTTTATTTGGATATCTGCTGTTATGAGGTAGTTTCTATGACAACCCTTGTGGTCTGTTTATTTGGATATCTGCTGTTATGAGGTAGTTTCTATGACAACCCTTGTGGTCTGTTTATTTGGATATCTGCTGTTATGAGGTAGTTTCTATGACAACCCTTGTGGTCTGTTTATTTGGATATCTGCTGTTATGAGGTAGTTTCTATGACAACCCTTGTGGTCTGTTTATTTGGATATCTGCTGTAATTAGGTTGTTTCTATGACAAACCTTGTGGTCTGTGTACTTGGATATATGCTGTTAAAAAGGAAGTTTCCTTTATATTCCTGATAATGTGTGTGTTTGACACTCGGCTGTGATAAAGGCAGTTCCCGTGACAACCCTGATGATATTTGTATTTGAAAATCTTTTGCTAAGTAGTTTCTATGACATTCCTCATGGTCTATGTATTTGAAAGTTTTTTACTAAGGTCGATTCGGTAACATCCACGAATGCTGAACGTGTCTTTCTCAATTCTTTCTCGCCCTTTCCATTCCACCTCGGCATGTGGATATGCTGACACGAGACAGTTAATGAACTGAAATAAAAGTGATGGCATAAGTATAACTGTTTCATTTTGTTTGTGCAATTATCTCACCCCGACTCAAACACTGCTGATGTTCACAGAATTACAATTTAAAAAGCAAGAAAAGGGTGTGTATTCTGAGGCAAACGTTTTGAGATAAGGCCTCGCCATCTAAGGCGTCACTTAGGCGTGCCAGGATCCGAAAAGACATGGGTTCGAATCCCAGCCCAAATCACGTGGGTTTGACCAAAGTTATTAAATCCTACATGCCTTTGCCACCATATGCAGCTGACACGCGTTGATACAGTACAAATATTGTTCAAGCGGCGTTAAACCCAAACAACTCACTCATTTTGGGGGTATGTGGGATCACAGGAATCATTCGGTGATTACAGATGGAGGACATGCTAGAGGACAAAATGCCTATTGTCAAACTCAACAGTCATATTCGAGTGACCTTGATGTACTCATAAAGATGTATGTCATGTATGCAAATTCGTCATTCCACGATTGGAATCTAATTGCTGATAGAGAGTAGGAGTCGGGTTGTATGTAGACATGTTCAGACGTCTAATGTCACATGATTAGTAACAGTTAGAATCTCGCGAGATCTGACCGGAACATGAACTCGAGAGAGATATTTGGGTTTGTGCGTTTGTTTAACGCCGCAGTCTGCAATATTTCAGTTACATTACGGCAATCTGTAAGTAATCGAGTTTGGACCAGACAATCTAGTCATGGATATAGTGAACTTGGATGAACGCAATTGCGATACGGTGACATGCATTCATACAAGTCAGAGAGTCTGACAAGCCGATCCCGCAACGAGAAGCATGCTTCCCTGCATTGGAGAAAGGGACTGGGTTCGAGTAGCGGTTGCAAAACCAAGTTCATACTGTGCTCGTTTTGATTGCACAACAGTCGATTATATTGATCTTTTCCTTCAAATACGTGACGAGAGATGGGAGAAAATTGGCAGACATTAGCAGGAACAACATGAACATCATCATACCTCGCACAACTACCTGATATTAGCAGTAACAGCATGAACATCATCATACATCGCACAGCTACATGACGTTAGCAGTAACAACATGAACCTCATCATACCTCGCACAGCTACCTGACATTAGCAGTAACAACATGAACCTCATCATACCTCGAATACAACATGACAATAGCAGTAACAACATGAACATCATCATACCTCGCACAGCTACATGACATTAGCAGTAACAACATGAACCTCATCATACCTCGCACACCTACCTGACATTAGCAGTAACAACATGAACCTCATCACACCTCGCACAGTTACATGACCTTAGCAATAACAACATGAACTTTATTATACCTCGCACAACTACATGACATTAAATAACAACCTGAACCTCATCATACCTCGCACAACTACATGACATTAGCAGCAACAACATAAACATCATCATACATCGCACAGCTACATGACATTATCAGTAACAACATGAACCTCATCACACCTCGCACAGTTACATGGCATTTGCACAACATGAAGCTCGTCATACCTCGCACAGCTACATAACATTAGCAGTAACAACATGAACCTCGTCATGCCTCGCACAACTACATGACATTAAGTAACAACATGAACCTCATCATACCTCGAACAACTACATGACATTAAGTAACAACAAGAACCTCATCATGCCTCGCACAACTACATGACATTAACATTAACAACATGAACCTCATCATACCTCGCACAGCTACATGACATTAGCAGTAACAACATGAACCTCATCATACCTTGCACAACTACATGACATTAAGTAACAACATGAACCTCATCATACCTCGAACAACTACATGACATTAAGTAACAACAAGAACCTCATCATGCCTTGCACAACTACATGACATTAACATTAACAACATGAACCTCGTCATACCTCGCACAGCTACATGACATTAGCAGTAACAACATGAACCTCATCATGCCTCGCAGAGCTACATGACATTAGCAGTAACAACATGAACCTCGTCATACCTCCAACAGCTACATGACGTTAGCATTAACAACATGAAGCTCGTCATACCTCACACAGCTACCTAAAATTATCAGTAACAACATGAACCTTATCATACCTCGCACAGCTACATCACATTAGCAGGAACAACATAAACATCATCATGCATCGCACAACTACATGACATTAGCAGTAACAACACGAATCTCGTCATACCTCCAACAGACACATTACATTAGCAGTAACAACATGAACCTCGTCATACCTCGAATACAACATGACATTAGCAGTAACAACATGAACCTCATCATACCTCGAAGAGCTACATGACATTAACAGTAACAACATCAACCTCATCGTGCCTCGCACAGCTACATGGCATTAGCAGTAACAACATGAACCTCGTCATACCTCGCACAGCTACAAGACGTTAGCAGTAACAACATGAACCTCAACATACCTCGCACAGCTACAAGACGTTAGCAGTAACATCATGAACCTCAACATACCTCGCACAGCTGCATAACATTAGCAGAAACAACATGAACCTCATCTTACCTCAAACAGCTACATGACATTAGCAGTAACAACATGAACCTCATCATAAGTCGAAGAGGTACATGACATTAACAGTAACAACATGAACCTCATCGTGCCTCGTACAGCTTCATGACATTAGCAGTAACAACACGAATCTCGTCATACCTCCAACAGCCACATGACATTAGCAGTAACAACATGAACCTCATCATACCTCGCACAGCTACATGACATTAACAGTAACAACATGAACCTCATCGTGCCTCGTACAGCTTCATGACATTAGCAGTAACAACACGAATCTCGTCATACGTCCAACAGCCACATGACATTAGCAGTAACAACATGAACCTCATCTTACCTCGCACAGCCACATGACATTAGCAGTAACAACATGAACCTCGTCATACCTCGAACAAATACATGACATTAAGTAACAACATGAACCTCATCATGCCTCGCACAGCCACATGACATTAGCAGTAACAACATCAACCTCGTCATACCTCGCACAAATACATGACATTAGCAGTAACAACATGAACCTCATCATGCCTCGCAGAGCTACATGACATAAACGTTAACAACATGAACCTCATCTTACCTCGCACAGCTACATGGCATTAGCAGTAACAACATCAACCTCGTCATACCTCGAACAAATACATGACATTAAGTAACAACATGAACCTCATCATGCCTCGCACAGCCACATGAAATTAGCAGTAACAACATGAACCTCATCGTGCCTCGCACAGCTACATGACATTAGCAGTAACAACATGAACCTCGTCATACCTCGCACAGCTACATGACATTAGCAGTAACAACATGAACCTCATCATAAGTCGCACAGCTACATGACATTAGCAGTAACATGAACAACATCATACATTTGTACCTCGCAAACCCACATGGCATTAGCAGTAACAACATCAACCTCGTCATACCTCGAACAAATACATGACATTAAGTAACAACATGAACCTCATCATACCTCGCACAGCCACATGACATAAACATTAACAACATGAACCTCATCTTACCTCGCACAGCTACATGACATTAGCAGTAACATGAACCTCATCATACATTTGTACCTCGCACACCCACATGGCATTAGCAGTAACAACATCAACCTCGTCATACCTCGAACAAATACATGACATTAAGTAAGAACATGAACCTCATCATGCCTCGCACAGCTACATGACATTAACATTAACAACATGAACCTCGTCATACCTCCAACAGCTACATGACATTAGCAGTAACAACATAACCTCATCATGCCTCGCAGAGCTACATGACATTAACATTAACAACATTAACCTCATCATACCTCGCACAGCTACATGACATAAACATTAACAACATGAACCTCGTCATACCTTGCACAGCTACATGACATTAACAGTAACAACATGAACCTCATCATGCCTCGCAGAGCTACATGACATTAACATTAACAACATTAACCTCATCATACCTCGCACAGCTACATGACATAAACATTAACAACATGAACCTCATCATGCCTCGCACAGCTACATGACATTAGCAATAACAACATGAACCTCGCAAAGACATTTCCTGTCTGCATTATACATGATGCTATAACTACCAGCTTGTATGCATGTTTGGGACACAACACAGTGGCGTTAGATATTGTAACCGTACATGTACTTGTTGGATTAAGAAGCGCTTGGATTGAAGACTCGATGGTTAACTCTGATGGTTTGCAGATAGACAGACAAGTTTAGTTTCGTCTCACTCGTAGAATGCAGTTATATGACAAGAAGTTTTACCAGAAATCTACAACCAGTCGCTAGACGACTTACGAGTGAAAATATGTCATTACAATAAACAGTAACACATAGCGAATATACTGAATCGCAAAAGAAACGTCACCCCAAGTAACATTGCATGAAAAGTTGTCATGTAAATATCTGGGTAATTTTTGTCAAAGTTTTCTAAAATTTAACATTACCTTGTCCGGAAAAATGAAATTCGATGATAGAAAAAACAAAGCAGATGACAATAAAATCGAGCGCGCAAACGCATCACGGCAACGGTCATGGTAACCCGATGCACGTGAGATCCGTTCAAGTTGAAAAGCACATCCGTTCCTCCATTTCTTGACCTATAAAAATCCACCCAGATCGAAAACATTCATTCGTTATTGAATTGCTACCACATGCCAAGATTGACAAAAAAATAAGCGACACCAAGCCCTTGGACGATTGGACAAACCGCCCGGCAAGTAGCCAATGCAAGTCCACGTAATGACCGTATACAGGCTCCAGCAACGGTACCAAACCACCAACATTACAGATGACCGACCACGTAGTGGAAGACCAAGGGTCACCACCAGACGTTAGGAACGTCAGATTGTGCGACAGTATCTTAAAGATCGCTTTGTTACTGCTGCGGAAACTGCTCGACAGACCATTGGGACACACCAGCTACACCTTAGTGCGGACACCGTGCGTCGACGATCGACGAGCAGACACCTCCACTGTCACAGGCCACACCGAGGACCCATTCTGACACCACCAGCAGTGGAGAAGAGTCCTCTTTTCAACAGCAGATGGCAGAGAGAGAGAGAGAGAGAGAGAGAGAGAGAGAGAGAGAGAGAGAGAGGGGGAGGGAGGGTCTGGCGACGCCGTGGGGAACGTTATTCGGATGCTTGTGTTGTTGAGAGAGACTCATGGGGTGGTCCGAGCATCACGTTGTTGCGTGGAATTGGTCTTGCTCTGTGGTCTTCCAGAACATCGTTCCAGGGAGAGGCAATGGTGTCACAGCAGCTCGGTACATTGATCAAGTCTTGAGACCGCACGTCATACCTCATTTGGCACGTAGCCGCAACCACGGGTTTCAGCCTGATAACGCCCGTGCCCGCACTGCGAGAGTATCAAGAGGCTTCCTCCAGCAGGATGGCATCAAAACCATGCAGTGGCCTGCCCTCAGTCCCGATTTAAATCCCACTGCGCACCTGTGGGACGAGATTCAAAGACGGCTGAATGACGTCCGACCAAGGCCGACAACTGCAGCTGAACTGCGTCGGGCGTTCCTCAGAGTGAGTGCCTATGGCCTTCATCAACCGCCTCATCCATTCCATGCATCGACGTTGCACGGCAGTCATCAATGCACATGGCGGACACACGAGATACTGACTTGTGATGCCATTTTCTTAGAGACTAGTGTTGTGTTTCACTTTAAGAACATGTGACAGTTTTGCCAAGTTTCATCTTTTTAATATGTCTCAAAGTATGTTTACAGTGTTTAATAAGGTTTCTCACATATCTATCCATGGTGACGTTTCTTTTGGTGTTCTGTATATATATACATCTATACATCAATGATATAAAATGGAACGTCGTTTTGCTATAATGTGATGGCAGGTTTTGGCCACGCAAGAAATAAAACCAATGTTTGATCAAATCTGTGTTAACTTTTCACAATAAAAGTAATTATTAAAATTTATCAATTTAAGATTACAGCGATTACGAAGATCAATCCTCACGTCGTCGTACAAAGGGCAACGAAGTAAAACATGGATCTCGTCTTCTACCTGGTCTGTAGAATTAAAGCAACATCTCTCTTCTGATGGTATGTTTGTGTAACGTCCAGCCTCTATCTTTAAAGGCGCCACTCCGCATCTGAATTTAGCTGGAGAGCTCCTGTGAGCACGATTGAGAGGGTATTCCACGTATTTTTCTGTAGCTTCTTAGTTTGTTTCTTCAACGGTTTCACGTTTCTCCAAAAATAATTTGTCCCTCCATTTAGACCTATATTCCAACAAAAGGCGTTCTTGCACCATTGAAACAAATAAATTGATTTCAATTTCGGGAAGTATGCTTGTTAAATGTCCTAGGTCGATTCTCTCAAGACATGACGTTACTTTAACATTGCTTGACCACAAAATATCTTCATTGTTACTCTCCTGTTTGGGGTATTAACAAGTCTGACCCAATGTCTTGAGACTGTTGTCCATGATCTGATATCTGGCGGGATCCAACTTACTTCCCTATTTATTGCAATGTTTGGTGCATATTTTCCAAGTCCTAGGAAAAAGGACTAGAAGTGAGCTCCGTACATTGTACCTATGTTGGGGGCGGAACCCTGGTCTTCGGCGTGAAGAGAGAACGCTTTAACCACCTGGCTACCACACGCCCAACGGTACAAGAAGGAAAGGTGATGAAAAGTCACTTCAACAACGAACTCTTACCAAGCTTAACCACTCTGGGCTATGAAATTATAAGTAAATAAGCCCGACATAAATCATAAGAGAATCTGTTCAAAGCAGAGTTCAGTGTGCGATTCCGTCCATACATGTACTTCAAACACGCCTTAAATGTTGAAACCGATTTATTTAACATCTTCTAGCCGTGCATCTTGCCAAGTATATATGTATCTAGTCATGTATCTTGCGATGTATTTAACATCCATTAAGCCTCGTGTCTCGCCAAGTATATATGTATTTAGTTTTAGATCTAGCGTTGTATTTAACTATGAACCTACAGCTAGCCATGTATCTCGCCAAGTATATATCATTTAGCCATGCCATACCTATCATCCTGATAGCACCGTAACACAGATTAGACATACTGCCTCTCAGCCTGATAGCACCGTAACACATATAAGACATGCTGCCTCTCGGCCTGATGCCACCGTAACACAGATTAGACATGCTGCCTCTCGGCTTGATAGCACCGTAACACAGATTAGACATGCTGGCTCTCAGCCTGATGCCACTGTAAAACAGATTAGACATACTGCCTCTCGGCTTGATGCCACCATAACACAGATTAGACATGCTGCCTCTCGGCCTGATGGCACCATAACACAGATTAGACATGCTGCCTCTCAGCCTGATGTCATCGTAACACAGATTAGACATGCTGCTTCTCAGCCTGACGTCATCTTGACACAGATTAGACATGCTCCTTCTCGGCCTGATAGCACCGTAACACAGATTAGACATGCTACCTCTCGGCCTGATGCCACTGTAACACAGATTAGACATACTGCCTCTCGGCCTGATGCCACTATAACACAGATTAGACATGCTGCCTCTCGGCCTGATGCCACTATAACACAGATTAGACATGCTACCTCTCGGCATGATAGAACCATAACACAGATTAGACATGCTGCCTCTCGGCCTGATGCCACCATAACACAGATTAGACATGCTGCCTCTCAGCTTGATAGCACCGTAACACAGATTTGACATGCAGCCTCTCAGCCTGATGCCACCGTAACACAGATTAGACATGCTGCCTCTCAGCCTGATGCCACCGTAACACAGATTAGACATGCTGCCTCTCGGCTTGATAGCACCGTAACACAGATTAGACATGCTGCCTCTCAGCCTGATGCCACCAGAACACAGATTAGACATGCTGCCTCTCAGCCTGATGTCACTGTAACACAGATTAGACATGCTGCCTCTCAGCCTGATGTCACCGTAACACAGATTAGACATGCTGCCTCTCAGCCTGATGCCACCGGAACACAGATTAGACATGCTGCCTCTCAGCTGGATGCCAGTCTAACACATATTAGACATGTGCCTCTCAGCCTGATGCCACCGTAAGACAGATTAGACAGGCTGCCTCTCAGCCTGATGCCACCGTAACACAGATTAGACATGCTACCTCTCATCCTGATAGCACCGTAACACAAATTAGACATGCTGCCTCTCAGCCTGATGTCACCGTCACACAGATTAGACATGCTGCCTCTCGGCCTGATGCCACCGTCACACAGATTAGACGTGCTTCCTCTCAGCCTGATGTCACTGTAACACAGATTAGACATACTGCCTTTTCAGCCTGATGTCACCGGAACACAGATTAGACATGCTGCCTCTCAGCCTGATGCCACCGTAACACAGATTAGACATGCTGCCTCTCAGCCTGATGTCACCGTAACGCAGATTAGACATACTGCCTTTCAGCCTGATGCCACCGGAACACAGATTATACATGCTGCCTCTGAGCCTGATGCCACCGTAACACAGATTAGATATGCTGCCTCTCGGCATGATGCCACCGGAACACAGATTAGACATGCTGCCTCTCAGCCTGACAGCACCGTAACACAGATTAGAAATGCTGCCTCTCGGCCTGATGTCACCGTGACACAAATTAGACACGCTGCCTCTCGGTCTGATGCCACCGTAACACAGATTAGACATGTTGCCTCTCGGCCTGATGCCACCGTAACACAGATTAGACATACTGCCTCTCAGCCTGATGTCACCGTAACACAGATTAGACATACTGCCTTTCAGCCTGATGCCACCGAAACACAGATTATACATGCTGCCTCTGAGCCTGATGCCACCGTAACACAGATTAGACATGCTGCCTCTCAGCCTGGTGTCACTGTAACACAGATTAGACATGCTGCCTCTCAGCCTGATAGCACCGTGTCACAGATTAGACATGCTGCCTCTCAGCCTGATGCCACTGTAACACAGATTAGACATGCTGCCTCTCAGCCTGGTGTCACTGTAACACAGATTAGACATGCTGCCTCTCAGCCTGATAGCACCGTGTCACAGATTAGACATGCTGCCTCTCGGCCTGATGTCACCGTAACACAGATTAGACATGCTGCCTCTCGGCCTGATGCCACTGTAACACAGATTAGACATACTGCCTCTCGGCCTGATGCCACTATAACACAGATTAGACATGCTGCCTCTCGGCCTGATGCCACTATAACACAGATTAGACATGCTGCCTCTCGGCATGATAGAACCATAACACAGATTAGACATGCTGCCTCTCGGCCTGATGCCACCGTAACACAGATTAGACATGCTGCCTCTCAGCTTGATAGCACCGTAACACACATTTGACATGCAGCCTCTCAGCCTGATGCCACCGTAACACAGATTAGACATGCTGCCTCTCAGCCTGATGCCACCGTAACACAGATTAGACATGCTGCCTCTCGGCTTGATAGCACCGTAACACAGATTAGACATGCTGCCTCTCAGCCTGATGCCACCAGAACACAGATTAGACATGCTGCCTCTCAGCCTGATGTCACTATAACACAGATTAGACATGCTGCCTCTCAGCCTGATGTCACCGTAACACAGATTAGACATGCTGCCTCTCGGCATGATGCCACCGGAACACAGATTAGACATGCTGCCTCTCAGCTGGATGCCAGTCTAACACATATTAGACATGTGCCTCTCAGCCTGATGCCACCGTAAGACAGATTAGACATGCTGCCTCTCAGCCTGATGCCACCGTAACACAGATTAGACATGCTACCTCTCATCCTGATAGCACCGTAACACAAATTAGACATGCTGCCTCTCAGCCTGATGTCACCGTCACACAGATTAAACATGCTGCCTCTCGGCCTGATGCCACCGTCACACAGATTAGACATGCTTCCTCTCAGCCTGATGTCACTGTAACACAGATTAGACATACTGCCTTTTCAGCCTGATGTCACCGGAACACAGATTAGACATGCTGCCTCTAAGCCTGATGCCACCGTAACACAGATTAGATATGCTGCCTCTGAGCCTGATGCCACCAGAACACAGATTGTGCATGCTACCTCTCAGCCTGATGCCACCTTAACACAGATTAGACATGCTGCCTCTCGGCATGATGCCACCGGAACACAGATTAGACATGCTGCCTCTGAGCCTGATAGCACTGTAACACAGATTAGACATGCTGCCTTTCAGCCTGATGCCACCGAAACACAGATTAGACATGCTGCCTCTCAGCCAGATGTCACTGTAACACAGATTAGACATGCTGCCTCTCAGCCTGATGCCACTGTAACACAGATTAGACATGCTGCCTCTCAGCCTGATGTCACCGTAACACAGATTAGACATGCTGCCTCTCCACCTGATAGCACCGTAACACAGTTTAGACATGCTGCCTCTCGGCCTGATGCCAACGAAACACAGATTAAACATGCTGTCTCTCGGCCTGATGTCACCGGAACACAGATTAGACATGCTGCCTCTCGGCCTGATGCCACCGTAACAGAGATTAGACATGCTGCCTCTCAGCCTGATGTCACCGTAACGCAGATTAGACATACTGCCTTTCAGCCTGATGCCACCGGAACACAGATTATACATGCTGCCTCTGAGCCTGATGCCACCGTAACACAGATTAGACATGCTGCCTCTCGGCTTGATGCCAGCGTAACAGAGATTAGACATGCTGCCTCTCAGCCTGATGTCACCGTAACACAGATTTGACTTACTGCCTTTCAGCCTGAAGCCACCGGAACACAGATTATACATGCTGCCTCTGAGCCTGATGCAACCGTAACACAGATTAGACATGCTGCCTCTCGGTATGATGCCACCGTAACACAGATTAGACATGCTGCCTCTCAGCCTGATAGCACCGTAACACAGATTAGACATGCTGCCTCTTGGCTTGATAGCACCGTAAGACAGATTAGACATGCTGCCTCTCAGCCTGGTGCCACCGTAACACAGATTAGACATGCTGCCTCTCGGCCTGATGCCACCGTAACACAGATTAGACATACTGCCTCTCGGCCTGATGTCACCGTAACACAGATTAGACATGCTGCCTCTTGGCCTGATGCCACCATAACAGAGATTAGACATGATGCCTCTCAGCCTGATGTCACCGTAACACAGATTAGACTTACTGCCTTTCAGCCTGATGCCACCGGAACACAGATTATACATGCTGCCTCTCAGCCTCATGCCACCGTAACACAGATTAGAGATGCTGCCTCTCGACATGATGCCACCGTAACACAGATTAGACATGCTGCCTCTCAGCCTGATAGCACCATAACACAGATTAGACATGCTGCCTCTCAGCCTGATGTCACCGTAACACAGATTAGACATACTGCCTCTCAGCCTGATGCCACCAGAACACAGATTATGCATGCTACCTCTCAGCCTGATGCCACCGTAACACAGATTAGACATGCTGCCTCTCGGCATGATGCCACCGGAACACAGATTAGACATGCTGCCTCTGAGCCTGATAGCACCGTAACACAGATTAGACATGCTGCCTCTCAACCTGATGCCACCGAAACACAGATTAGACATGCTGCCCCTCAGCCTGATGTCACCGGAACACAGGTTAGACATGCTGCCTCTCAGCCTGATGCCACCGTAACACAGATAAGACATGCTGCCTCTCAGCCTGATGTCACCGTAACACAGATTAGACATGCTGCCTCTCCATCTGATAGCACCGTAACACAGATGAGACATGCTGCCTTTCAGCCTGAAGCCACCGGAACAGAGATTTTACATGCTGCCTCTGAGCCTGATGCAACCGTTACACAGATTAGACATGCTGCCTCTCGGCATGATGCCACCGGAACACAGATTAGACATGCTGCCTCTCAGCCTGATAGCACTGTAACACAGATTAGACAAGCTGCCTCTCAGCCTGATGCCACCGTAACACAGATTAGACATGCTGCCTCTCAGCCTGATGCCACCGTAACACAGATTAGACATGCTGCCTATCAGCCTGATGCCACCGTAACATAGATTAGACATGCTGGTATTAGGTCTTCATTTACGGCAACACCGATGTTGACATGCTGGTAATAAGCCTTATGTTACGGCAACATCAATGTGGACATGCTGCTACTTAGCCTTATGTTAAGGCAACACTGATGTGAACATGCTTGTACTAAGCCAGATGTTACGGCAACACCGATGTGAACATGCTGGTACTAAGCCTTATGTTACGGCAACATCGATGTGGACATACTGCCTCTCAGCCTGATGTTACGGCAACACTGATGTGGACATACTGCGTCTCAGTCTGATGTTACGGCAACACCGATGTGGACATACTGCGTCTCAGTCTGATGTTACGGCAACACCGATGTGAACATGTTGGTACTAAGCCTTATGTTACGGCAACATCGATGTGAACATGCTGGTACTAAGCCTTATGTTACGGCAACATCGATGTGGACATACTGCCTCTCAGCCTGATGTTACGGCAACACTGATGTGGACATACTGCGTCTCAGTCTGATGTTACGGCAACACCGATGTGGACATACTGCGTCTCAGTCTGATGTTACGGCAACACCGATGTGAACATGCTGGTACTAAGCCTTATGTTACGGCAACATCGATGTGAACATGCTGGTACTAAGCCTTATGTTACGGCAACACCGATGTGGACATACTGCGTCTCAGTCTGATATTACGGCAACACCGATGTGGACATACTGCGTCTCTGTCTGATGTTACGGCAACACCGATGTGAACATGCTTGTACTAAGCCTGATGTTACGGCAACACCGATGTGAACATGCTGGTACTAAGCCTTATGTTACGGCAACATCGATGTGGACATACTGCCTCTCAGCCTGATGTTACGGCAACACCGATGTGGACATACTGCGACTCAGTCTGATGTTACGGCAACACCGATGTTCATATACTGATACTAAGCCTGATGTTACGGCAACACCGATGTACATATACTGGTACTAAGCATGGTGTGACGGCTACATCCATGTACATATACTGGTACTAAGCCTGATGTAACGGCAACACCGATGTGTGGACATGCTGCCTCTCAGCCTGATGTTACGGCAACACCGATGTGGACATGCTTGTACTCAGTCTGATGTTACGGCAACACCGATTTACCAATGCTGGTACTAAGCCTGGTGTTGCGGCAACATCGATTTACACATTCTGATATCAAGTCTGATGTTACGGCAATACCGATTTACACATGCTGGTACTAAGCCTGGTGTTGCGGCAACACCGATTTACACTTGCTGGTACTAAGCATGGTGTTACAGCAACACCGATGTAGACTTGTTGGTATTAAGTTTTATGTTACGGCAACACCGATGTGGACATGCTGGTATTAAGCCTGATGATACGGCAACGCCGATGTAAACATGCTGGTACTTAGCCTGGTGTTACGGCAACACCGATGCAGACATGCTGGTATCAAGTATGATGTAACGGCAACACCGATGTGGACATGCTGCTACTTTGCCTGATGCTACGGCAACACCGACGCACACATGCTGGTATTAAGTATGATGTTACGGCAACACTGATGTGGACATGCTGGTACTAAGCATGGTGTTACAGCAACACCGATGTAGACATGTTGGTATTAAGTTTTATGTTACGGCAACACCGATGTGGACATGCTGGTATTAAGTCTGATGTTACGGCAACATCGATGTGGACATGCTGGTACAAAGCCTGATGTTACGGCAACACCGATGTGGACATGCTGGTACAAAGCCTGATGTTACGGCAACACCGATGTGGACATGCTGGTGCAAAGCCTGATGTTACGGCAACACCGACGCACACATGCTGGTACAAAGCCTCATGTTACGGCAACACCGACGCACACATGCTGGTACAAAGCCTGATGTTACGGCAACACCGACGCACACATTCTGGTACAAAGCCTGATGTTACGACAACACCGATATACACATGCTGGTATTAAGCCTGATGTTACGCTACAGTGTGGTGACTTGCACTGGTCCTGACATTTTATTAGTAGCACTAGTAGCGAATAAAGTTAACAGAGCTCACCAGACCACAAAGGTGAGACATGTCATGACACGGTTAGTACAAATAACAACATACACCTTGAGGCGTATCAATGTTTGCTTCTCAGGAACAATTTGCTGCATCAAAGGCTTGTACTGGTTACGTAGGCATATTCAAAGCATGATGCAGGACATTTTAAGTTTCAGCCGAAATCGTGATACTTTCTTACACTTGCAGTGAGAGTTATCGTCAGCTTTTGCAACACTCTTATCGCAGATGTGAGTGAGTGAGTGAGTGAGTATGGTTTTACGCCGCTTTTAGCAATATTCCAGCAATATCACGGCGGGGGACACCACAAATGGGCTTCACACATTGTATCCATGTCGGGAATCGAACCCGGGTCTTCGGCGTGACGAGCGAACGCTTATCGCAGATGTGAAGTTGTATTACCCTCTAGTTTCCCTAGGGAATGAGAAGATTGTGTTTTGTGGAGGAAGGGACATAAGTCTGTTATTCAAGTCGATGTTTGGAGGTCGCCCTGGAGAATCGAGTTCTAATCTGACATCAAGCCCATGTTTGATTTCCAGAAACGAGATTATTTTGCAAAATGTGCTAAATGTGCCGGAATACATTACGCTCTCAGCCAACCAGCCAACAAACCAAGCCATCAACCAACCAACATGCATGGTACTGACGACGCCCTACAGTGCATTATCTGGGACCGGTGAAGATCCGGGGTAGAATAGGTCTTCAGCAACCCATGCTTGCCGTTAAAGGCGCCATTGCTTGTCGTAAGAGGCGACTAACGGGATCGGCTCGCAGACTTAGTTGATGCATTTCACCGTATCCCAATTGAATAGATCGATGCTCATGATGTCAATTACTGGATTGTCAGGTGCAGATTCGATTATTTACAGACCGTCGTCATATAGCTGTAATATTGCTGATTGCAGCGTTAAACGACAAAGACACTTTCTTAGTGTCATAGCATGATAATAAACATAGATATGTTTCTGACAGTTTCTCACAACCACAAGTCATTAATTTATAACATTTGTTGACATTTATATGTGATAGACATAATTTTAAAGATATTTTGCTCCTAAAACCTAAAACACTGGACATACACCTAACATGATACCCATCTTCAAAAGTCTATGTTCTCTTAAAACTCTACATGTCTGCCTATTTCAATCAATAAATCATGTGAGCAACAGTTACATCTTCAATGCATCCGACTGCAGGGTAAATTAACAGTCGCTTTCTCTCTCGGCGTCAACTCTTGGATGGGGCTGCGTTTGAACTGAAGCGACGGTAAAATCTACGCGGACAATCAACACCACTGGCAGCAACAACAAAAACTCTTAGAAACCAAATAATGTCATTTTTATGATTGTGCGATAACACAGTGTGTTGGCACAGTTATACCAAATCCAGGCAACTTTAGCAAACTCATGAAATATTATTCACTTGGCGTGATTAAGACACCAACTTATTGGAATTGATTTGGTCAACACCATAGCCGGTGTCAGCTTACCCAGCTACATCTGTAAACTTGCCTCAGTTTGTTAACCCAAATATTTAATTTAAAAATCTAACTTAAGTCTAATGAAGATACTTTATATGTGCTTTTGTGGTGCTTGTGTTTTGACAGACTTCCTGAACAGTTTGTTGTATTCCGGTATTTAGTGAGATCATACCGCAACTCCCGCAGACCAGAGCTGATCTAGAACCTAAAACTACTGCATTGATAAGAAGATGTCACCTGATTATTGTTTTTGTTCAATTATGTACATTACGCTTATACAAAAAGAATGTTCTAATTGTTAATGGGCATATCCTATAATATCTGAAATTTGAAAACTGTTGTCATTGATCTAATGATCATGAGATGTGTTGTTGTGCCGTTTTTGTTTATGAGTATCGGAAAATACACAGTATAATTGTTGTTTAGCTGCAGTTGACACATTGACGAAAACATAATATTTCAGAATAGGCCGCCTGTTTGTTTGCTGTTTAACGCTTCAATGAGCCATGTTCCAGCTGTGTGACGAGTGCGCATGCGTGTGTGTGGCTGCTTGAACCAGTACGAACTGATGCCCACTGATTAAATGCCAGCTTCGAATGACAACGTGCGATGTCGACCGTATCCTGTCAACGAGTACATGGCCTCAGACCACACTTATCCCCCCTAAGTTTTACCATGAACCGGAAGGAAAATAGGAGAATATAGTACCCTGTTTAAATGGGCTGTTCAGCCTGTGGCAATTTTTTTGGAGTAACTTGTGATAGCTTAAACGAAAGATAAGACATTGTAGTTTGCTGTCATTTGTTTGTTAGCCCCAATCTGTGAAGGTATTGATTCCAGCTTCCCATGATTTGACCCCAAGTTGAAGGCCGCTGTGTGTGTTTCGGCTCGAAACTTCCGGTGAGCATTGTTGACAGTGGTTACTGCGAAAGCAAGCTGGTGGATGCTGGCCGATTTGCGTTTTAAGTGACAAGTGGCAGGTTGGTCAGCATGCAACAGGAGAACAGCCTATGACCGATATTAATTATGGTGGGCTGTCATGTCACTGTAGATAGCAAAGAAGGAAATTAATTGTGGTCTGAGGCCATAAGGACTAGCTAATTGAATGTGCGCGAGGCTGACCTCATGGCTATCACTAGTTTTCTTGCTGTCCTTTAAAAGAACAGACACACTCCCTTATACACATGCAAAGTTGTAAATAACGTATCTCATAATAATTATTTGAATTAAAAAACTATTTGAACCTGTAATGTGAACATATTGTGAATCATATTTTAAAAACTTTCACCTTTAAAGATTGTGGTAGAAAACGCACATCAAAGAAATAACACAGCTGTGTTTTGCTAGTCTATGCGTGAGGTGAAATGTGGTTTTACGTCTATTATAGCACTTATATAGCGACGTGCATGCACGCGCGTGTGTGTGTGGCTGCTTGTACTAGTCCGAACGATTTATAGTGAAGAAGAAG